GTTTTCTACCCATCAACAGAATGTATCGGAAGAGTATGCTTAGGTTTGTCTCTTCGGGTTTCTTGTTCGACCTCACGCTGTCCAGGAGTCTGGAAACAAAAGAAAAACACAATCGACTGTTAAAAAAATGAAACACTGTGTGAGATTTGAAAATTCGTGAAAAAGTAATGATAATTCATTGCCATGAGGAGAATTTAGTAATCGCATCTAAAAGTTTACTTGGCGTCTATATCGAGTTACTTATTCGACACGACGAGTTTCTTATAGCAGGAAACTAGTTTTCTCCGTCGTCATTGATGATACAATTTCATGACAATTATTTCAGTGACAGAGCAGAGGGGTCTATAATGACAATATTTTTTTCCATTTCAAGGTATCAAGAAAAAATTGCCCGGTGGCCTCATTTCTTTCGATGTAATTTGCAATTTTCAAAGCAGTGGCGTGGCGTGAACTGCGATGTATCGATTGTTATGCCATTTAAACCTATGGTAAAGAATCGATTATTAAGGTGTTCGCTGCGAACACCTTGCTTATTGATTCTTTTCCACAGGTTTAAATTGCATAACAATCGTTATATCGAAAAGCACGTCACGCCACAGTTTCAAAGTTATTTACGTCTCACATCAAGCGTCGAATATCGTACGAAAAACTATTTTACACAGCCCCTTGAACATACTGAGAATGCGGAAACTCGAATTTTATAATATTTAAGTGCGCATTTTTTCCTCTGATTTACTAGGGCCGGATTTACCAACTTGCCGCTTGTGGGCCGCCTGTATTTTGCCGCCTACTTATGATTCGTTTTGAAACATCAATAAAAACCATTAAGTGAACGTGCCGAAGGGAGAGGGGTGCATTAGACCCGTTCATTCTTGTTGGACACATTATTTGCGAAAACCCTGTCAACAATACTGGCAAAAGTTCACAGAACTTTTCGTAAAAGTTAAGTTCCGTCTACCTATCTCTGTGTGGACGAGGCCTTTCATTTAAGGAAATGAACGAAAAAATTATGAAAGAACAAACATAAATGTGATTTAATAATTTTAACTTCCGCCGCCGCGCCGCGCTGATCGCAATGGGTTTGGCGCAATGCGTAAAGTATTCCTACAGTCTTGTAGGCGCTTTGCGTTTCACGCCAACCGCTGCTGGCCACTGTAAGCACTGCCTGTGCTGTGTGCTGTTGCACTGTGTTTGGCGCAATGCTTGAAGTATTCATGTCGTCTTGTAGGCGCTGTGCGTTTCACGCTGACCGCACTGTGTTAAGCCGGGATTTCCTACAAATGCTTATTGGCGCGGGTCGGTAGCGCCCGACGCCAATTGTCATAAGAGCCCGTGTAAACGTCTTATTTTCGCCAGGCGTCAACACCGCCTCGGAGGNAAGTTCACTTTTAACACGGGCTCTTATGACAATTGGCGCTGGGCGCTGCCGAACCGCGCCGATAAGCATTTGTAGGAAATCCCGGCT